CTTTGAGGTGGTCAGCTTCCATCCTGAGAGCTGCCATGGGCTTTCAGCTGTTAGTCAACTCCAAATGCATTCCTTAAGATACCATTTTGAGCTGGGGGTGGGGTGGGGTGATGGTACACTCTCAGGAGACAGAGGCAGGCAGATCTCCGTGAGTTCCAGCCAGTTCCAGGACAGTCTCAGAAGCTACACAGAGAAACCGTCTTGAACCCCTCCAACCCCAAAAGAAACATTTTGAGGATTCTGAGGGTTTTTTAAATTGTATGCAAGAAAATAGAACTGAAGACCCATGTATTTCATGTCATGCCACATGAAATATAATTTCATATTAATCCAATTCTCCCCTTCCCCACAAGAGATATTTATTTTTTAATTAAAAACTAATCAAAATTAATTTCAATAAAAAACTAATTACTTTTTTTTTTCCCATTTTTTTGGTTTTTCAAGACAGGGCTTCTTTGTGCATCCCTGGATGGCCTGGAATTTACAGAGATCCACCTGTTTCTGCCTTCCTAGTACTGGAATTAAAGGCATGCACCACCACTGCCTAGCAAAAATTAATTACTTTTTATTTATTGTATGTGTGTGTATTTATGTGTTTGTACATACATGCACCATAGGACAACTTGAGGGGGGTAGGTGTAGGTATGTAGTAGTGTTTTAAAGACAGAGCTTCACTATGCAGTGCTGGTAGGCCTGGAGCTAATTATTTAAAAACAGGCTAGCTTCCACTACCTCAAGTCCTTCAAACTTTTTACTTAATTACTGCAATAGGCCCCTCCAAGCACATCATTCCATTCTGCTGCAAGAGTATCCTCCAAAACATAAGGGTAATTAATTATACCACTCACCCACACTTCCTTAATGACTTTTCTCCTGACAGCTACAAGATAAATCCCAAAGCTTCAAAGTCAGTCCTTCATGATAAGGTCTCAGTTTATTTTGATTGCTTTGATAATCTTCTCCATATAAAATTTACTAACTAAATTAAAAAAAAATTAAAGTCAGGTGTTGGTGGCACACACCTTTAATCCCAGCACCCAGGAGGCAGAGGCAGGAGGATCTCTATAAGTTTGATGCCAGCCTGGTCTACAGAATGAGTTCCAGGATATCCAAGGCTACACAAAGAAATCCTATCTTGAAAAAAACAAAAAAAAAAATTAAATGCTTGGGATGCCATTATACCCACCTTCCCCATATAGTTCAGGCATGCTGATGCACCAAAAGTGTTAATTTGTCAACTTGTCTGGTGCAGAGTTACATTTCCCATGTGGTCTTTGAAAAATTTCCATCCAACTGTCAACTCTTATTAATTATACCTGGGGTTGGTTACCTTGAAAAATCCACTAAGCTTTTAGGTGAATATCCCTTCAGGCTTAAAACAGTCTTAAGATAAAAGTTCCAGGGCATACTATACTATATCATAGTAAACAAATCACAGATGAACCCTAGACAAAGGTGGCACAGACCATAATTTCAGTACTTGATGGCAAATATGTGTACCTATTGAGCCAACTTTCTGGTTCCTAATCTCAGCACTTAGGGAGCCAAACCAGAAGGACTTCAGTTTGAGGCCAGTATGGGCTACAATGTGAGACCCTGTCTCAATAAAAGGAACAGCGACTTGGGGGGTGGGGGAGAGATGGCTCAGTGTCTAGAAACTCTTCCTGTGCAGTCATAAGGACCAGAGTTTTGATCCCACCACCATGTAACAAGCTGGTCTCCAACTGCCTGGGACTTCAACTTCAGAGGAGGCCTCTGTGCTTTTAGATGTGTGCAACTAGACATGTGTACATGCACTTACAAATACACACATACAAATAAATAATGAAAAGAATAAAAAGTACAAGGCTAGAGAGAAGGCTCAGTAGTTAAGAGAACTAACTGTTGTAAATAAAAAGTACAAGGAAGACGTCATATGACAGTTCAAGTGAAGGGTTTTTTTATTAGGGGAAAGGGATCATAAAAAGAGAAAAGGAGACTGGGAGACCTGCCTACAGGGACAGGAGCAGCAGGAGAGAGGGGTGGGGGTGGGTGAGGGGTGGTGGAGAGAAAGAGAGAGAATGGGAGATGGGCAGGGCCCTTTTAAAAGGGAACATAGTGAACAGGCACAGGTGGTGCTCTTAATGGCTGTGGCTGAGGGTGTATCCTGTCTGAACTCCAAGGGCAGGCCAGTACAGATGCCTAAATACTAACACAGACTAGTCTTGCAGAGGACCCAAGCACATGCATTGACTCAAAACTACCAGCTTGAGGGAATCATACCCATCTTCCTCATACACATATTAAAGCATTTACTTAACATTGTACTATTATTAAATAACCCTCATAGTCAGATATTGGGGTGAAAACTTGATTGATAAGTGGCCAGTGACCCTTCTCTCTCTTTCCTCAAAAGGGCTCACAAATCTTTCTAAGCTCCTCCCTAGTACTTCCTGTGTCTCTATATGTATCCTGGATCTTCCCAAACCCCTATGGCTAATTCTGGTCAGCTAGTTGCTAGCTCCACCCCCTGATTCAAGGCTAACTTTATTGGCTGTCTCGGAGTGTTAGTGAGGACAAATATCCTGCAACAGTATATACACAATGACAAGATTAAAAAAAATAAATAAATAAAAATAACAACAACAAAAATTGGATAATGAATGAAAGCCAGGAAAATAAGAGACAGTGATCCATAGAGACTTGTAGAAAGTTTATGTTGTTATAACATATGTTTTATATTGTGGATGTAATTGAAATTGAAAGTTGAAATAGGATTGTGAATTAAGGCTTTTTTCTTTTTCTTTTTTTTTTTTTTTTTTTTGTTTGTTTGTTTGTTTGTTTGTTTTTTCAAGATAGGGTTTCTCTGTGTAGCCCTGGCTGTCCAGGAACTCTATAGATCCTGATCTATAGATCAGGCTGGCTTCCTCTGCCTCCCTAGTGCTGAGATTAAAGGTGTGCACCACCACCACCCAGATGAAGAATTAAGTAAAAATAGAACTACTTATAAAGGACTGGAGGATGTTAAAGTCATACCTAAACAGCAAATATGTGAACTAGAAGATAGCAGTGAAGATATCACCAGGTCAAGTGAGCTGCCATGTGCCTGTAATTCCAGGGCTGGAAGGCTGAGGCAGGAGGCCAGCCTGAGCTACATAGCTAAACCTATCTCAGAAGGAACAAACAAACATGATACTGCTGAGAATGAAGATATAAAGAGGCAACATTAAAGAAAGAAAGAAAGATGCCGGCACAAGCCTTCAATCCCATCACTCAGGAGGCAGAGGCAGTTGGATTTCTGTGAGTTGAAGGCCAGCCTGGTCTACAAAAGGTGTTCTAGGACAGCCAAGGCTGTTATACAGAAAAACTCTGTTTTAAAGAAACAAAAAGTAAAGAAAAGAAATCCAGTGAATTCCAAGGAATGAAGACTAACCTTGACATTCACAGTGGAACTGCAGGCCAATGAGAAACCTTAAAAGCTCTAGAACCAACAGACTGCTATAAAAATAATTTTCTTTAAGCTGACAACTGATTTCCCAGCTGTAGCAGCAGAAGACATTGGAATTCTGTTTTGTGTACTGAGACAAAACAGCTGTCAGCCTTGAAATGGCATGCTCAGTAAAATGCTTTCACAGTACACATTTCAAGACAAAAATCTTAGAGCATTTTCTGCCAGTAGAATGAGATTCCAAGGGATATAATTTAGATAAAGAAAACTCATCCCTGATAGGAAGCTCAGGGTGATTTGCAGTGGCTGCATAATATTTAAATCAAATACATACTAGCTTTATGTTTCAAAATTTGCTTCATTAATTGAATCTATTCTGAACATATTTCTGGACATTTTATGCATGTAGTATTTCATGTTGATTTGATTCTAGAAGTCTGTACAACTAAGTTAAAAAAGGAATTTCTTGGTACATGTAAAATTGTTTTTAAGAGGACTTTACCAATTTACATTTCACTCAACAGATTGTGCTGGCTCTATTTACAAATGACTGTTTGGACCAGTTTTAAATAACAAAGATTGACATTTCTTACCAGACATTTATATCTTAGACAAAATTGTCTAGGTTACTTCTCTTGGTTTGATATTAAAAATGTGTTCTGAGTTGAGCCCTAGCCCAACCCCTTCTCAAAAACTTTTGAATAGATTTTTAAAAAATTTTAATTGAATTGCATTCTTTCTAACTTTCTAGAATGCAGTCTTTAATTTTTCTTTATCCCATTTTCAGTTTATTATTAGTAACAAATAATATACTCAACCTGTTGTGTTTTTTTGGTTTTGTTTTGTTTTTGAGACAGGCTTGCACAGGCTGTCCTTGAACTTAGAGGTGCCCGAGTCCCAAGTGCTTGTATATCCCACCACACTAGGTAATTCAGCCTTTTTTTTTTAAAAATTGCAAACAGAGCTAAGGAGATGCAAGCATGAGGATCCCTAGAACCTAAGTAAAGGCAGTTACCATAGTTACATACCTGTAATCCCAGGGCTCCTTCCTACATTGAGATGAGAGGCTTATTAGGTAGCTAGCCTAACATAGGTAGTGGTGGACAAGAGACTCTCTTGTCTGACAAGGTAGAAGCAAGGAATGGCACCAGGTATTGTCCTTTGACCTCTGTGCATGTACTGTAGCACATATATGCAAAGAAATGACAAATAAATAACCAGGCGTGGTGGCAGTACTCATTCATGTAAGCCTAGTGTTTGAGGCTAAGGCAGAAGGATTTCTGAGTTGAACACTTGGCTTGAGTTACAGTGTGAGACCTGCCTTAAACAAAAACCCACATACACACTTAAAAAAGGAAAAGAAAACAAATTTGATTGCAAAATAGTCTGTACTGCTGTGATACTGTTGTATTATTTTCTACCTCTGTATTTATACCAACTCAACAACAGGGCAGAAGTAAACAAATGTGCAAGTCATTTTAAAGGGGAAGGATTGTTAATCTGCTTGGGGATTGCATGTTTTAGTACGAGTTTGACTGTAAGATGTCATTTTTAACTTTCTTTTCTATTTCAGGTGCAAGTGAAAGTGTAGGAAAACATATGCTTGAAGCTTGCAACAACAACCTGGAGATGGCAGTCACTATGTTTCTGGATGGTGGAGGAATTGCTGAGGAGCCCAGTACCAGTTCTGCAAGTGTTTCTACTGTCAGACCACACACAGAGTATGAATTTATTATTTATTGTAGCAGATACCTTTTGCCTAAATTGCATTTTTATCAAAGTTAGGTTAATTTTCTAGCTTTGAAAAACATTTAAGGTTGAAAGAATCTGAAAAAAATATGTGGAAACTTTTGTATTTACTATACCTTATATTCTCTAGTGTTCCATCTTGTCTCTTTAATCTTTTCTTTTTTTCACTCCTCAAAAGAACTGTGGGTTACCGATGGGCAGGCAGGTGACCGAGTACGGGTGCAACTGCTTGATTATATTTGGCCTGAGATTGGAATTTGTGGGCTCCAAAGCCACCAGCTATACGACAAAAAGAATTTTGTTGGCTGAGAATTTAGCTCAGTTGACAAAAGTGTCTAACATTCAAGAAGTTCTGGGTTTAAGCCCCAAACCTAAATAAGCCAGACTTAGTGACACATGCTTCTAATCCTAATAGTTAGGGGGTGAAGATGAGAGGATTGGAAGGTCGGGGTCATCCTAGCTACAGAGCAAGTTTGAAGTAATTTTGATGTTTTTGTTTTTAAAGAACTTTATAGATTGGTGTTATTTTGCATCTGAGGAAACAAGAGTGTGGCCATTTTTCCAAGCTACACAGCAGTTAAAAAGCAGGCATAGTCTAATGAAGTTCATATTTCCAAATGTAGATTTTCCTACATTTTTTTCAGGAAAGTAAGTTTTCTTGAAATGGTTTTGAAAACTAAGGTTGAAGCATGTATAGCTTAGTGGTAGAATGTGTGACTAACATGCATAGGACCTGAGTGTAAGATGTAGCACTTTAAAAAAAAAAAAAAAAAATGTAATTGTGTATGATCAAAATAGTAGTTTTTGTGGTTTGGTTTGGTTTTTCAAGACTGGGTTTCTCTATACTGCTTTGGAACCTGTCCTGGAACTAGCTCTGTAGACCAGGCTGGTCTTGAACTCACAGAGATCCGCCTGCCTCTGCCTCCCTAGTGCTGGGACTAAAGGCATGTGCCACCAACACCCGGCAAAATACTAGTTTTTTAGGGGCTGGAAAGGTGGCTCAGCAGTTAAGAACACTGGCTGCTGTTCCAGAGGACCTGGGTTTAATTCCCAGCATCCACAAGGCAGCTCACAACTGTCCATAATTCCAGTTCCAGGGGATCTGACACACTCACACAGGAATGCATGCTGGCAAAACACCAATGCACATAAAATAAAAATAAACAAATCATTTAAAAAATTCTGGTCCTTTCACTAAAGGCATTACCACTGTTTATAGAACTGTATATATTTGATTTTCTAGCTCTCTGTATTTTATTAGTGAGAGTTTACAATGGATACATAACTCTTGAGCAAAATTTCATGTCTTTGGAAAGCATTAGACTTGAACCTTGTTGGGCCACAAGCCTCTGCACTCAGATGGTCATTGGGTTTTTTGTTTGATTTTGAGATACCATTGCTTTGTGGCCTAGACTGACCTTGACTTCATGATCTACTTGTATATTAAGATTCCAGGTATGCCCACAATTCCTGGCTAAGCATTGACTTTAACAACAACAAAAAGCTTTAAAAGGGGCAAGGTGTAGTAGTCCAGTTCCATCACTTAGGAGGCAGAGGCCTGCAAGATCTGTTTGAGTTCCAGGCCAGCCTGATCTACATAGTGAGAATCTGCCTTGAAAAACAAAACAAAACAAAAGAATACTTAATTTAAAAGTCCTTAAGTAAGACTAATACTTTTAGTCTTTTGTAATTCTCATAGTTTATAATATGAGAAATTAAATGAGGAATCATTTTAAATACAACAGGCAAAGGCCCAGAGTTTTATTTTTATTAAATCAGATGTAATTTATTAAATCAGACATAAGAACTAGGTCACATACAAGTACAATTGTTCTTTGTTGAGTTAGTTTCAGATCAATGGAATATTCTTTCTACATGAGTTATAAACTTTAAAGATCATATTAATAGTTTGCAAAGTTTTTGCTTGTTTGTTTATTTTCTGATGACCATTTGTCTCCAGTGTGCTTCCATTTCCCAATATGGCTTAGAGCTTTAATGGAAATCAATATTGAGCAGGTTGATATGTTATGCACCTTTAATTGCAGCACTCTGGAGGCGGACAAGTGGATCTCTGTTAATTCGTAGACCATTCTTGTCTATATAGCACATTCCAGGCTGTCCTGTTCCAATAAATACACATACAAATAAACAAACAAATAAATAAACAAAATTGAAACATGTTTTAGTTGATAGACACTTAAATAGTAGATATTTGCAATTGATTTGGGGGAAGCATATGTATGTATGTATCTATGTATTTGTTTGCTTGCTTGCTTACTTACTTGTTTGTTTGTTTTTGGTTGTGCCTGAAATAGTGAGTTACTGTATATTCCTACCTGGCCTGGAACTCACTATGTTAGACCAGGCTGGCCTCAAACTCACAGGTTCTGGGGTTAAAGGTATACACCACCATGACTGGCACTTTGGCTTTTTTTGTTTGTTTGTTTGTTTGTTATTTTAATGACTCTGATAGCAATGTGTGGCTATTGAAAGATAAATGAAACTCAGGGTCTCACCATTGCTGGGCAAGTACTCTGGCACTGAGTTAAATCCTAGCCCGATAGCATTTATTTTACCTTTTTAAGGTAAGGTTTCATTGCTTTGTCTAAGCTAGTCTCAAACTCCTAAGCCTCAAAGAAAGTAGCCTTTTAAGAGCAAATGTTTCTCATAAATGAGTGTTTTTTCCTTAGTTACTTACTTACATCATGATTCGGATAGATTGTTTATATGCAACTGGTGAACATTTAATAGTAGTTCCTAATTCCTTAACTAGAATTTCCCTTCCAATTCACCATCTCTATTTTTCTGCTTATTGTAGTTAGCATTGCCAAATATCTTTAGATATACAGTAATTAAGTCTTACCTTATAGGAACTTTTTTTTTTAAAGAGAGAGAGAGAGAGAGTGTGTGTGTGTGTGTGTGTGTGTGTGTGTGTGTGTTCACTCTTGTACCCATGTGTGTATGAGTGCTCATGGAGGCCAGGAGAGAGAGTCGGATTCTTTGGAGTTCCAGGTTTTGTGAATGATGGGTTCTTAATTCATGATTGAGCCAGCAGCCCTTAACCACTGAGTCATCTTCATCCACAAGACTATTAATTTATTTAACTGAGATATTTCATTGGATTGCAGTTGAGTAACTTAGATTGAGGCAGTTTTGCACATCCCCTGTCAAGTGCAGTATACCAATTTTAAAAAATTTAATTGGATAAAAGTTTTTTTTTTTTTTTTTTTTTTTTTTTTTTTTAGCAAGGTTGTGATGGCACCTGCCTTTAATCCTAACACTCAAGGAGGCAGAGGCAGGTGGATCTCAGTGAGTTTGAGGCCAACCTGGTCTATAGAGTGAGTTCCAGGACAGCCCCCAAAGCAATACAGAAAAACCCTGTAACCAAAAAAGGGGGCCTTTTTTTTTTTTTTTTTTTTTTTTTTTTTTAAAAGCTTGGCAGGATAGTGCACACCTGTGATCCTAACACTTGGGAGGAGGGGACAGGAATAGCAAAAGTTCTAGGACAGTTTTGGCTGCATAATAAGTTCAGGCCAGCTTGAGGTACATAATACCCTGTTGAAAAGTACATTTATTTTTTGGAAAATCTTTTAAAGTTGTGTAATGGGCCCCACCTTACTCACCTCCCCTCTCCATGTAACTCTCCCTGAAATGGAGTCTTCCTTTGTTGCCCCAGGATGGACTCTTGGGGTCAAGTGACTGCCTGCTTCAGCATTTTAAGTAGTAAGCATTATAGGCATGGGTCACCAAAACCAACTGGTGTTTCTTTTTGATTAAAATATTTACTAAACTTCCTTCTACAGATACATTGTCTGTTCCTTCAGGTTATTGAAATTCTGCATATGAGCAGTGACCTATGTCCAGTAGGAAAGAGCAGCTGGGTGTGGTGGCACATTTCTATAATCCCAGCACATGCAGGTGAGATTTCTACCACTGAACCACCGATGGTTAATCCTAGTACTTAGAAGATTGAGACAGGAGAATCTCAAGTTTGAGTCCAGCTTGGGTTATGTAGTAAGTAAGGCTTGTAAACAAAAAGTAGGAAAGAATATGTAATGTAATCTTGAATTATTCTTCAGTCATTTGTCTTATTATAGACTTGTCTAACTGGTGGTTCTTTAATTATGGAATGTTCATTGGCAAATGAATATTCATAATTTTTAAAAATATAAAGTATGTCTTGGAATTCTAAGTGTTAAATGTGGAAATTCCAACTGTTAGATATTGAAAAAGAATAGGGCCTTGTTAGATTTGATGGCACATGTTTATAATCCCAGCATCCTCTGCTGTATTTTGTTTTTAGTTTTTTTGAATCAGGGTCTTATGTAGATCAGGCTGGCCTCAAACTTATCTGACTTTGCCTCCTTAGTGCTAGGATTAAAGGCATGCATCAACATGCCCAGTGCAATCCCACCTCAGTTGTGAAGATTGAAGCTTGAAGCAGCCTAGTTAGACTTTGGCTTAGAAATAGTCTCCAAAAAAGTGTGTGTGGTGAGCACGGGGTTTTGCAGGACAAAAGAACACATGGTAGAACTCATTAGATCTAATTTAAACTGATCTTTATTATAATTCTTTTTCCCCCATATATGTGTTTGGGCATGTAGGGTGCCATGTCACTTATGGAAAGGGTAGAGGACAACTTGTGGCTGTCGGTTCTCTCCTTATGAGTGTTGGTTTTAGGGATCCAGTAAATTGGTCAGGCCTTGGTGGCAAGTGGCTTTACCCCATGAGTCATCTTGCTGGCCCATATGCTTAGAAGTCTTATAAGTTACTGCTATTTTCTGTGATAATTAAGTCCAAAAATATTAAGTTCCAATATTTGGTTATGACTTTAAATAAACTGATTTTAAAGGTAACCTGCCATTTACTTTTTTTTTAAATATTTATTTATTTATTGAGACAGGGTCTCTTTGCATATTCTTTACTGTCCTGGAACTCACTGTGTAGATCAAGTTGGCCTTGAACTTAACAGCAATCTACCTGTCTCTTTGCCTCCCAAGTACTGGTACTAAAGGCATGTGCTACAGTGCCCAGATCCCATTTATTTGTATTTTTAAGATCTTTTAAATTTATTTTATGTGTGCAGATGTTTTGTCCTTGCATGTATGTCTGTGCACTGTGTGCCTGCCTGGTGCCATGGATGCCAGAAGAGAGTGTTGGGTTCCCTGAGAATGGAGTTAACAGAAGGTTATGAGCTGCCATATCAGTGCTAGAAATCAAACCTAAGGTCCTCTGGAAGAACAGCTAATGCTCTTAGCCACTGAATTACCAGCCCATTTATCAAAACATTTTGCATTTCACCTTCCTAGAAAAAGTTTATAAAAATATTTTTTTTTTTTTACTGAGTTATTAGTGAGTAGTTATATTGATTCTTTGAGGATGCACTTTGAAAAGAATGTTTATTTCCAGTGCTTGGGATCAAATGCAGTGCTCAGCAGATATTAGGCTTGTGTTCTACTGCTGAGCTCTATCCCTCGCTGAGAATAGGCTTTAATTTTAAGTAATTTATTTAAAATTTGTATTACATTTATCTCTTGTGTGTGGATGCGCATGTTTTGGCACATTATGGATGTTAGAGGACAGATTTTTGAATATCAATTTTCTCCTTCTACCTTGTGCATAGAAATGAAATTCAGGTCATCAGAAATGACAACAGGTATCTTCACCCACTGAGCCATCTCCCTAGCCGCAGAACTACCTTTTAAAGGATGTGCCAGAGCGATGGTTTGATGGTAAAAGCCCTGGTTGCTTTTCTAGGGGACTAAATTCCTAGTACCCACATGGCAGCTCACAGTTGTCTGAACACCAGTCCCAGCACATCTGAGGGCATGCATGCACATAGTGTGAAGGCATATGCCGTGTCTGCATGGCCTGGGACCAAGAATCTGTGGAGGGTGTCGGGATTAACAACACATGACTCTTGCTTGATGTTAAGAAGGCCCTCTCTTTTCTTTGCTCCTGGGGCTGGCTTTTATACCCCAGCACCAGATGGAAGAGGAGGAAGTGGAGGAGGATAGTCAGTCATCTCAGGTTCCAAGGACCGGTTAGGGTGTTTTCAGGGGTCCGTCCCAGGGTTCCAGAAACCAAAGGAACATTTTGCCTTAGAAAACATGTTTTCTTCTATGGTTACAGCTGCCTGCCTTGAGGGCATCGGGGGAAGTGAATTCTTAGTCAAGGTCTTAATTCCCACAAACATATATTGAGGCAAACATTCATTCACATAAAAAATGAAGTCTCTTTGGGTGGTGGTAGCCCACACCTTTAATCCCAGCACTTGGAGGAAGAGGCAGGCAAATCTCTGTGAGTTTGAGACCAGCCTGGTCTACAGGAAGCAGTTCCAGGACAGGTTCCAAAACTATACAGGGAAACCCTGTCTTGGGGAAGGGGGGGGGGGGACAAAAACAGTGAATGAATGAATAAAATCTTGCCGGGAAGTTGTGGTAGAGGCACAGCGATAAGTTCAAGCCAGCTTGGTCTATAGAGCTAGTTCCAGGACAGCCACAGCTGTTATACAGCAAAAAAAAAGTAAAGGGGTGGGGACTAAAGAGAAGAGTTTATATATTTAATATACATTTTATATATTTGTTTATATCTCATATATAGAAGATTCCTTTTCTGTATAGGATCTGTTAAGTAAATACTTTTAAGATTATACCTATGGTAGCTTCTTTATAACATAAAATTTATTACCTATTTATTGACGCTTTAATACATCCTTGCATTTTAATTATTATGAGATATAGCAGTAATTATATTGATCCTAGTAAGCCTATATTTTCTAGTCATTTTTACTTGACTTTTTTTTTTTTTTTTTTTTTTTTTTTTTCCTTCTTGATAAATTGCTTATCTTTAAGGGTGCTAGAGTAACAGCTCCATGGTTAAGAGCCTGTAACTCCAGCTCCAGAGGGATATGTCACCCATGACCTCTGAGGACTCCGAGTTCACATGTACACATACTCCTGCACACATAATTAAACTAAAAATAAAGTCTTTAAGAGAAAGAACTCAGGAAAGTTGGGGATTTAGATCAGTGGTAGACAAATTGCCCTGGGTGGGGGGATGGGCAGAAAGACCAAAACAATAATTGCAGCCTGGAGGTAGTATGGAACAAGCTTTAACTCAGAGCCTGGGAGGCAGAGGCAGGTAGATCTCTCAGTTCCAGGCTAGACAGGGCTACATAATGAAACCTTGTCTCCAGAAAGGAGAGAGAGGGAGAGGAACGGAAGGAGGGAGGAGATTCAAGTTAGGTTGAGGTGGACAGACAGCTCAGTGGTTATGAGTACATTCTGCTCTTGGGAAAGGACTCAAGTTCTGTTTCCAGCATCCATATTGGGCAGCTCACAACCACCTAAAATTGCAGCTTCAGTGGAATCTGAGGTCTCAACTATGCATAGATCTCGCTTATCCTCCATATTTAAAAAATAATTTTAAAAATTAATGTGTAAGGGACCTGAGAGAGATCTTTTTCTTTTTGTTCTTGTAAACCATTTTAGCTTTCTGTGCTATATATATTCTTCTAGTTAATCTCTGTGTAGAAATCAATTACAGCTTCTTTATTCTGATTACTATATAGTTTCTTTTAAAAAAAATCATGTGTTTGTTTCACTTGTTAGTTTGCATACATTCACAATTTAGAAGGAAAATGGGTGTCACAAAAACAGTTTTCATTTTGATTATGCACTTTTTTTTTTTTTTTTTTTTTAAACAGAGAAGAAGTTCGTGCCCCAATTCCTCAAAAGCAAGAAATATTGGTGGAGCCAGAACCTTTGTTTGGTGGTAAGTTCACTTTATTTGCTTAACTTTATTTGACTTTGTGGTTGTCTAGGATTTTAATAAAATGACCTAGAAATATGAAGGCTTATTCAGAGATTGTTCCTCATTTATAGAACCAGTTCTTATCTAAGGTGCATTCCTTAACAGAATAATAATGAGGAGGAGGTGGAGGAGGAAACTTAACAAAAAGAATTGCTGTCTTTTTTGGTAAGGGAAGTTATCACTATAGATAGCCTTAGCTGGTCTGGAACTTAGAGACTGCCTGCTCTACATTATAAATTCCAGAATTAAAGATGTTCGGAACCATGCTTAGTTCCCCCAGCTCCCCATTTGGAGTTGCTGCATCTTATGGAAACCAGTGTCATTATATTAAAAGGGACCCTTAATTTTATGTTGTGTCTTCTGAATGTACATATGACTGATAGATAGCTCTGAATGTACATTTGACTGATAGGTAGCTCAATATATACTTGACTTATAGCTCTTTATTGTTTTGTATGCCTTGCCTTCTCTCAATTTTAATTTCTCCAAGTGCTGTTCTTGTTTTGGACAGAGGAAAAAATTAGTTCTTATTCCATGCCTTCCCACCGAAAAAATTGGGTGAATTCAGAATATGCTCAAGTATGGGATATTTAATCAGTTTTAAAGAGCAGTAACAGTTTAATAAGCATCTACTTCCTTTTATGAGGCAAATATTTGTAGGTATTAAAAAACAGAAGATGAACCTTCCTATGGTAGGGCAGATGGTGAAGCGTATATTGTATTGAGAAAACTAGTACAGAGAAATGGTTTGAAACACAAGGATAAGAGACCTCTTTTAAGTTTTGTAGAAAAACTAGGATAGGGAAAGGAAAATAATTTTTAAAAATTTTCATTTATTTACTCATTTGAGACAGGGTCTCAGTGTGTGTCTTTGACTAGTCTGGAGCTTTTTGTACGCTTGAACTCACAGAGACCTGCGTGTCTTTGTCTTCTGAATTCTAGGATTAAAGATGTATGCCACTATACCAGGCAAGAAGGGGAAATAATTTTTCTAAAAGATTAAAAAGTTATCCATTAGGTGTCAATACTTCTAAGTCAAGTACTTGCTACTAGGTTTAATCCCTAGCATTAGAAAAAATTAATCTGTATTGAACATGGACTTTTTTCTTACCAGTATTCCCTAAACAAACAGAATAATCATTTAGAAAGCATTTACATTATATTAGGTATAGTAAGTAATCTAGAGATAGTGTAATTTATAAAGTACATTGAAGAATGTGCCTGCTGAAGGATGTATCCCCAACTCAAGGCCAGAGGTTGGGATTGTGTTCAATTGCTTTTCTACTTTATTTATTGAGTCTGGGGATCCCGATTCTTCATTGTTTTGTGAGATAAAACTTTTCTTGGAAGATGCAGTAAACAAGTCAACTCACCTCAGATAGAGAACCCATTACATACCAAAGTATAGATAACTTGTTGAACTAATGAGTTTATTGGAGTTACTTACAGGAATATGGGTGAAGGGTCTCAAAAAAAGCTGCATCACCAAAGCCCACCCACCTCACAATAGCTGGGAACCTGGAATATACTGAACAGCCTGCAGGAAGTTCAACAGGCTGGAGTGTGTCTTTTTCCAAGTGACTCAGTTGGTCTAAACCATTTCCAGGCAACTCAGCTGATTGCTGTTTCTTCCAAGAAAAAGTTCTTGGGCAAGAAGTATTACAGCTTGAAAAGAAACTCTTAGTGAAGGTATGACAAATGAGTAGGGAGCAAATAGGAACAGGAATGAGCCCAAGAAATAATAGGAGCTGGATAGATAGCTAGCAATATGAAGTAGTAGTAAAAACACCAAAGTGATCTGGTGTCTCATGAGAGGAAGAAAAGAGAGATGATAGGAAATACGGTAGACTAGCAGCTGGCTGCTGTTGGTGGGTTAGAAGTAGAATATTCCCCTACTACACTGGTTTTCCATGTCTGATTCTATTTTAGGGCTCACAACTATCTATAATAAGATCTGGCACCCTCTAGAACACTGTATACATAATAAATAAATTTAAAAAAAAAAAAAGAAGAAGAAAAGAATTTAAAAAAAAATCTTTGTCTGGTCTCTCTTACCTAGTTCTGATTTTCTCATTTGCATGATAAGATTGGGTCATTTTGTGTTCATAACCTGGAAGACTTGACTTTTTTTCTTCTCCTGAGAGAAGGCACTATTAAGAATATGAACATTTAAAAATACATATGGGGCTAGAGAGATGGCTCAGTGGTTAAGAGCACTGACTGCTTCTTGAAAGGACATAGGTTCAATTCTCATCACTCATGTAGTGGCTGATAACTGCCTGTAACTCCAGATTCAGGGCATCTGACACTCTTTTCTGGTCACATGGTACACAAACTTAACTTGTAGGGAAAATACACATATACATAAAAGAAATAAAAAATATAAAAATATAAAAATAAATGGTTATCTAAGGAATTCCTTTAGAATTTTCAAAATTAATGTTTTTGATTTTTTTTTTTAAACTAATTCTGTTTTTCTTCTACAGCCCCTAAAAGACGAAGGCCTGCACGTTCAATATTTGATGGTTTTCGAGATTTTCAAACTGAAACTAGTAGGTATTTGTGAACCAGTCTGTGAATTCTCTTTAATATCTTTTCTATTAGTCCTAGTTACTTAGAGGGTGCACCGTATTTAAAAAATGAAATTATAGTGACATCAAGATTTTGGGTAAACATAGTGGCTATGAAGCCTGAGTAATCTGCAGGGCCCACATGGTAAAAATAGAGAAACTGACTCCTGCAGGTTGTACTTTGACCCCACATGTATGTATGACATGCATGGATATACACACACAGCCCTAGTCAGGGTTACTATTGCTGTGATGAAACACCCTGACCAAAAGCAACTCAAGGAAGAATAGGTTTGTTTGGCTCATATTTCAAGTCATAGTCCATGATTGAAGGAGGGTCAGGACAGGAAATCAAGCAAGGCAGGAATCACTGCCCTATAGGCTTGCCTGTAATCAGCCTAGTGTTAATGGAGTCATTTTCTTAATTGAGTCTCCCTCTTCTTTGACTTTAGCTTGTCAAGTTGACATAAAACTAGTCAGCATACAATTCATACCTTTCTGTGGCACAACTCAAAAGTATCTTGACCTCATACTTTGAAAGATTTCTAAAGAAAGGACAATTTTTATTTGTTTATTTGTTTATTAGTTGGGGCTTTGTATAGGCCATGATGTGAGTGTGTCCTCTAACAAGAGGATGGCTACTGTATGGGCTGAGAATTGAACTCCAGCCATCAGGTTTGGCAGCAAGTGTCCTGACTTACTGAGCCATTTGCTGGCTCTAGACAGTTATTTTTAGATAATACATGAGAAATGCTGTGTCTAGTTTTATAACATACTGTGCCCCTTCAAGGCACAGATAGGTCCTGTTACTTTGGAAAAAGTTGAAAGAGAAGGTTTAAATTATCAGAAAAATCTGTGCTCTTCTAGTAGATGGGGACAGCAATGTCCTTAGTCTCTACTGCAGGAGCTAACTGCAATAGATGGGCTAGGATCACTTTCAGAGCTAGAGACATGATTCTGAAAGTTTTCCTCTGCGTTGCTTATGAATATGTGAAAGAATTTAGTGTGTGTGTGTGTGTGTGTTTTGCTGGGGACAAACAGGGCCTTGAATATCCTAGGCAGGCAAGCATTCTACCCCTCAGGTGTATCCTCTTCTCGAGGTGCATTCATTTTTGTTTTGTTTTTTTTAAATGATGCTGGGGGCTATACTTGGGTCCTGTATATATATTAGATAGGTTCTGAGCTAGATCCCTAGCTGGCTTTACTTCTTACTGTGAAACAGTCTCTCATTAAGTTACAGATTGAACTAGCTCATTCTGTAGCTCAGGTTGGCCTTGAACCTTCATCTTTTTGTTTTTGTTTTTCAGAACAGGGTTTCTCTGTGTAGCCTTGGTTGTCCTGGAACTCACTCTGTAGATCAGGCTGGCCTTGGGCGCACAGAGATCTGCCAACCTCTGCCTCCTGGGTGCTGGGATTAAAGGTGTGTGCCACCATGTCTGGCCAAACCTTCATCTTCTTGTGTTAGCCTTCCAAGTAGTTTTGATTGTAAGTCTGCACTACCAGGCCTGGCCTAGCATGACTATTTGTAACTAATTTAATTTTCTACTTTTATCCTTTGGTTAGGGAACAATCACTAAACCCTAAAATGTTGCCCCTTTTTTTTCAGTCATTAGCTTTTGATCAAGCATATTGTTCATTCTTTCATTAATATAAGGCCTTTTGTTTATTATGTAATTTACTTTCATTTTATGGCTAATTAGATGTTTCCATCCTTCTGTATTGCAGTTAGGCAAGAACAGGAGTTAAGAAATGGAGGAGCAATAGATAAGAAACTGACAACCCTTGCGGATCTGTTCCGTCCCCCAATCGACTTGATGCACAAAGGCAGCTTTGAAACAGTAAGTTGTTGGAAATTCTGCACTATAACTATGAAATGATTTACAATTGTAGTGTGGTTTTTTTTTGTTTGTTTGTTTGTTTCCTTTTTTGAGACAGAGTCTTGTCTTATGTGACCTAGATATATTATATGGACAATGCTGACTTCAAAAATTATAGAGACGGGTCTGCCTCTGCCTCCTCTGTGCCACCATGTAGACAGGTTCTGTTCTGCCTGGTCCCACAGCTGTTTAGCCCCAAACAAACACACAGAGACTTAAAATAATTAGAAACTGTTTATCCAATGGCTCAGTCTTCTTATCAGCTAGCTCTCTCTTAATTATTTAACCTATTTCTATTAAACTATGTATTGCCATGAGGCTGTTATTCCTTTGGCAGCTACATGGTGCCTCCCTCAAGACCTCTCCTGTGTCCTCTTCCCCAAAGTTCTCCTTGTCTCATAGCCCTGCCTATGCTCTCTGCCTGGCTACTGGCCAATCAGTGTTTTATTCATCAACCAATAAGAGAAACATATATACAGAAGGACATCCCCATCATCTCTTTTCTATCTAAATAAAAAGAAAGGTTTTAATTTTAACATAGTATAAAATTATATGTAACAAAACAGCTATCAAGCAAGAACTATAGTTAACAATACTTAGTCAACTAACGTTTGGCAAAATTAATAAAAATATTCTATATTGTCTGTGAGTCTAAAGTTTTATATGTAACTTATCTTTTATCACAGCTAAGGAAAACCATAAACATAACTATCTGTCTTCAACTCCATCAAAGACCTCAGAACAATAATATATATAAACTCTAGAATTGACAGAGACATCTCACTGCCTGGATAGTCATCTGAAGTTATTCTGCAATGTTGGGGCATCCATCTTCAACCTTTAGGCCTAGAGTGTCTGGCAAAGCAGGAAATTTGAAACTGTCCCACCTGTATTGGCAGTTTGTCAGCCATTTTTCTCTGTGTCCTGCAGAATGTCTGGCAGACTCTTCCATGAAGTAGGAACCCTGAAGGACTTTACCATCTTGTTTTGGCAAGTTGAACAGTCACTTCCTGTGTGTCCTGTGTGTCCAGTTTATATAGCATACAGTCAAACAGTTAAGGCAAGAGCAGTTTCTTGCCCAAATGACCAGTCTTGCCATATTGAAAGCAGCCCATCTTCCTTTCTGACATAATTGGTGATGGCAGGAACAATCCGTGTCTCATTGTCATGAAAAACCCTAATAAACAACTTTAAATGCCATATTCTGTAGGTCTTTGAAAGATTTGAAGACCATCTATCCATCTCAAATATATCTCTGTATATCTAGAAAACCTAACTAACAGAACTATGTTTTGACTATTATAGGTGACTATATGTAATCTGTATTTAATTATACATTACATTTTCAAATTAGCTGTATAAACAAAATACCCAAACAAGAGTAGAAAAAATACATATAGCAAAGTTGACCTTGAACTAAACCAAAATCCATACCAATGCAAAGTATACATTTGTATATCATAATCTCTTTTTTTCTTTAGAAAGAAATTGACTGTGATCATTAACCATTTCTAACTAACCCCATTTAAATGAATATATTTATAAACAATATTTGGGGATTTGTGCATAGTTCTCTCCTGTTTCCTGCTGTTGGGGGGGGGGGGGGCTCTGTCAATCCCAAGGGGATCCTGAGAAAACCCAGAAACCTGACCTAATCTTGGCTGTAGTAGTCTGAAGCTGCATTGTCTCAGCTGTTTTGGATGTTGGATTATCTGGGCCACTGCTTTAAGGGGTCTTGCTTGATCAAACCATATTAGTCTGGAAGGAATCCACAGCTTTCCATTTTCTGTGGAAGCAAAAGCAAAATCTGTTTTACTAAAGTAACATACCCTTAGACTTAAATTTTAAAGTCAAGGCATTTTCAAAATATACAGGTTGGATTATTCTAGTAACATTTTCAATTAAATGTTAGCAGCTGTTGCTGTTTCCTCAGCAGTCATATAATTCAAAGACAACACAATAATATACAGTACCCAGATTCCCTGTGTATTTTCCATCCTTATGTGTTTTTTGTTTTTAACTATTTCTTTTTTTTTTTTTTTTTGGTCTTTTTGAGACAGTTTCTTTGTGTTACTTTGGCTGTTCTGAAATTCACTCTGTAAACCAGGCTGGCCTTGAAATCACAGAGACCTGCTTACTTCTGCCTCCCAAGTGCAGGATTAAAGGCATGCATCAACACTGTATGGCTAGAAACTAGTTTTTAATAAATATTTAACTTTATTCTTACAGGCCAAAGAATGTGGCCAGATGCAGAATAAGTGGCTGATGATAAACATTCAAAATGTACAAGACTTTGCATGCCAGTGCCTCAACCGTGATGTGTGGAGTAATGAAGCTGTTAAGAATATTATCCGGGAACATTTCATTTTCTGGCAGGTGAGAAAGGCATTAATTAAAGATTTTGTAATATGTATTTTTATAGTGTAGGGTGTTGTGGAGGAGAAATGGGTTATAAACTGGGAAGAGTGAATTCGTTTGTGACGTACGTTAACTGCAATGGTTAAATAGTCAGGATAAAGGCAGCAGTGAAGTAGTGGAAGGAGAAATAGCATCTAAAAAGGTTCAAAGGAAACAGGTGAAATCAATATTAATATTTCTTCTTTAAATCAATAGACGATATAACATTAACATTTTATCTTGCTCTGTGTGTGTGTGCTAAAATTTCAAGATATGGTATGAATTTCATGCTTATTGCATGGATTAGTTGATTTCAACTGCTGAATAACCCTACAAGGCCAGTGACCATGAGGAAAACATCTTAGAGCATTAGAGAAACACTAAACCTTGTGTCTTAGCTTGAGCTTGTTACTCTTCTACTAGTGTTCCTAGCTTAGTATTCCTTAGTGTCCCAGATATAATATCTTTTTGTATAAATTATCTAGTTAAAGTCAGGTAGCCTACTTCTAATTTCCCTTGTGTTTCACTCTTTTTGTTTGGTTGGGGTTTTCTTTGGTGGGGGAGAGGCTGGCTACTTGGGATTCAACCTGGGCCCTCCTGCAAATGAGGCAAGTGCTCCACCATTAAGCTGGGCTCCATTCTCTTTTTTTTTTTTTTTTTTTTTGTTGTTGTTGTTGTTGTTGTTGTTGTTTTTCTTCAAGACAGGACTTCCCTGGAACTCACTGTGTAGACAGCTGTCATAAACCCAGAGATCCACCTGCCTCTCCCTCCTGGATGCTGGGATTAAAGGTTTGCACCTCTAGAGCCCAGCTCCTTTTTTAGCATTTGAAACCACCCAAGTAGACCTTGAACTTGTGACCCTCTGACCTCAGACATCTGAATAGGAGGGGATTATAGACTAAACAGGTCCAGTTTTAATTTCTAATTTTTAAAAAGTTACAGAAAGTAACTTAAACAATATTTTCTTATTCTAAGATATACTACTACTAATGCTATTAATTTTCCTTTTTGTGTTTTACAGTCTGATAAATTCAGTGGGATTTTTGTGTTTTTTTCTGTTATTATAAATTTGTGTGTGCTCTATGTGTATGGGTATGTGGTATGGGAGATTGAGAACAACTTTTGGAAATTGGGTTCTGAGAATCAAACTCAGGTTGTCAAGCTTTTTGCTGCAACACTTTTACTTGCTGGCCTCTGTGGTTGGTTTGTTTCTTTGTTTAGTGGTTTTTTTTTTTTTTTTTTTTTTTTTTTTGAGATAGGGTTTCTCTGTATAACAGTCCTGACTGTTCTGGAACTCACTCTGTAGACCAGAGAACTGGGATTACAGAGAACTGGGATTAAAGCCATGCACCACCACTGCCAGCCTCTGTGATTGTTTTTTAATGACAGAATTCCTTTTATTATTTTATTCAAATATTGAGTGAATAAAGTATTGTTACATCTCTGCTTAATAAAATGTTGGCTTTTAAAACTTATAATCTTAATATATTGTGATTTATTAAAATAAGTGTACCGTGTCAGGCATGGTGGCACATGCCTGTAATCCCAGCACTTGGGAGACAGAGGCAGGCAGATCTCTGAGTTCACAAGGACAGCCTGCTCTAGATAGTGAACTCTAGGATAGCCAGAGCTACATAGTGAGACCCTGTCTCAAAAATAAACCAAAACAAAAAACCCATAGATGGACAGATACTTGAAAAGAAAGAATTAGTAGCTCTCTGAACTGAGAAGGGAAGAGGAATAGTTTGGTATGTTCATAATGAATTTTCAGAAGGGACTGTGAGTAGGATACAAGTCCCCTTTCACATGGGAATGAGAACTTAGTATGTCTGTCAAAGGCTTACATGGAGACTCTATTACTGTTAGGAGATAACGGTATAGCCAGCCTTTTAAAAAGAAGGTTTTTATATCATTGGTTTAACAGGTTTATCACGACAGCGAGGAAGGTCAGAGATACATACAGTTTTATAAGCTAGGGGATTTCCCCTATGTTTCCATCTTGGACCCACGGACAGGTAAGCTACATCAAATTACAGTTTTTAACCTATCATTTATTTTTCAATACCTTAATAGTTGATTAATATTTGACTGGATCTGTTTTCAGAAATTTAATAGTTAAGGAAAGTTTTTTGTTTATTCCCATTATAATTGTGTAGACACCTTTGGATGTGTATATTTAGGGACTATTTCTGGCAATTTGAGGGGTAGCAACATTTTGTGTTTGTACACTTACATTCTTTTGGAGGAAAACTTTGTATGGGTCTCCTTAGGTTTTGTATTATTATAAGCACTAGTTGTATTCCTCTAAGAGCACTAGAGGGTGAGCTGGTTTTATCATTAATTATATTTTATTTATATTTTGCTTTGTTTGAGTTTCTTCTTCCTAAATGGCTGTAAGTGGTGCCAGCAGATAATTGTCCTGTCGTAGGTAGAAATCTTTCAATGAGTTATAAGTGATGTTGTCAGTAGGTTACAACAATACTGTGTGACTTCAACAAGTGAGGGATGGGGATGTGAATTTGTAGCAAAGTTTAACTATGCATATGACAATTATTTAATGAATATGGTTAGAAGAATTGTTGATTTTATGTTTACATGTCTTGAATTTTTTAATTTTTAGGCCAGAAGCTAGTAGAGTGGCACCAATTAGATGTGTCTTCTTTCTTGGACCAAGTAACAGGGTTTCTGGGTGAACATGGACAACTGGATGGACTTTCTAGCAGTCCTCCCAAAAAATGTGCCCGATCAGTAAGTATAAGTGATGGGTGACTGGATGTGCTTATGTCAACATCTTATGTAAAATGTTTGACATTAAGATGGTACTTATAATAATGTAAGTATTGAACAGTTAGGGTTTCTGGCTGTCCTTATTTTTTTGATGGTTTTCTACAGAAGGATTTCATCTACTCAGTGAAGTCATAAGACATGTATACAAGCTGGCACTGATTGGGAAGCAGAGGCACACATATCTCTGTGAGTTCGAGACCAGCCTGGTCTACAGAGCTAGTTCCAGGATAGCCTCCAAAGCCACAGAGAAACCCTGTCTCAGAACACCCCTTCCTATCCCCGCCAAAAAAGACATGTGTACAACTCCCCCACACACATACACCCAGAGTTAAAGCATAAAAATGAGACCTAAAAAAAGAAAAGAAGGAACAATATAAACATGTGAGCTGGAGAACTGATACGGCCAAGCTGCTGGTGGATGCAGCTTCTTCCTAGGGCGGTTCTGAGAGGGCTTCTCGTGACATACTAAAGCAACAGTGGATATAAGGTTTTTGGCTTGCAATGTTATTTGGCATTATTACTGGTTAGATAGCTGTAGGTCCTGGGATGCTCTGGCTCTCCCAGAGTTTATTTTTATACTTAATGTCTATAATATGTTATTATGTAGTCATCTTTGCTAGTTGATATCATGATTAATTTCAAGTAAAAAATCTTCAAAGATAAGGCAGTCTCACTGTGGTTATCATTGCTGTTTGGGTTTTGATGACAATGAGAATAAAATTATGTGTCTTTAGAATTGGTCTATCATGTAGTGATTTAAAAAATAGTTATTTGAAGTTATCTAAGTACCTAATTAAAATTACATAAATGAAACTTTTCTGTTTGTTTTGGGCATTTTGCATTTCTTTACAAGTTTAAGAACCAGCTTGTTGCTTAATACAAGAAAACATGCTCGCATTTTAATTGGAATCATACTGGTTCTGTGGACATCGAGTAATTGAATCTTCAGGTCTAGTAGTATGGAATATATCTGCCCTATTTCTGTGTCTTTAATTTCTCCCAGCAGTGTTTTCTTCTTATTTTTTATTGACCTTAGAGTGCTGCCTAATTAAACAAATTTATTAATTTGAACAATAAGATCCATCTTATTGTTAGCTGATATATATGTATGCATGCATGTATATATGTGTGTATGTGTATAGAGTTTTGTATTTCTATTCACTTATCTTTGTGATCCAAGCTCACTTACAGAAGCATAGGTGAGAATCGTTTACAAGAGCACTGGCACCTTACCAGTGGCTACATCCTAAGAACATGTTCTCCTGTTCCCAGCAGCCATTCACTGCTTATCTAAGGGAAAGGTTGGACCCTTGTCAGTTTTTTCCAAGGCAGGCTGTTGATGGGTCCATCTTGTGCTGGGCTTACACAGGCAATCACAGCCACTGTGCATTTAGGTGTGCAATTTTGTCATGCCCAGAAAACCCTGTTCCACACCCTTCCACCCCATCCTTCACATTATACATTCTTTCTGCCTTCTCTCCCACCATGCCCTTAACTTTGGAGAGGCTGCCATGAATGCTATAGTCCCATTTATGGCTCAACTGTCAGCATTTATTCTGTACATTTTAACCACTTATGAGTCTTAACATTGTCCACTGCAGAAAGAAGCTTCTGTAACTAAAGCAACAGCAGCACTAATCTGACTGTTGGAGTCTCTTGGTGCTCCTTCCCTGGCTCTTGGAGACATGGTCTCACCACTGGATGTTCCTCTGTATGGTTATATAGTTCCTTTTAAAAATGTGTGTGTGTGTATGTGCGTGTGTTATGTCTACATGTATGTTCCTGTACATAGTGGCTTGTGTGTGTAAGCTCAAGATTGATGTCAGGAACCTTATTCGGTTGCCTTCTTTGCCCTCCTCCTTATTCATTGAGGCAGGGTCTCAGCTGAACCCACAGCTCATAAATATAGCTAGTCTTGTTAGACAGTTTGCTTTGGGGGGGGGGGGTTCTCTGTCTACTGAAAAGTGGAATCCTAGCCAGGCTGCTACACTCAGCAAGCATTTACAAGGGTTCTGGGGAATCTGAGCAATGGTCCTCATGCTTTTGAAGTAAGCTTTAACTACTACTGATTGTCTCCCTAATCCGTATGTTTATTAAAATGTACTTTATCAGGTTACTGAGGCTTTTTTGGAGACAGGTTATAACATCTTGTTCAGCTAGACTCAGACTCACCATGTAGCCAAGGATATCCTTGAATTCCTGATACTTCTGCCTCCATCTCCTACCTGTATTCCTTTTATTCTTAGTTTGCAGGGTGTCACATGTCTGTGATCCCAGCACTGAAGAGGCTGAATCAGGAGGACTACTGCAAGTTTGAGGACAGTCAGAGCTATATAATGAGTTCCATTCCAGTTGAGACTACAGAGTGAGATCTTTCTCAAAACAAGTCACAAACAAAAGAAGCAAATAAATACTATAGGACATGTAGTACATGAACTTCATTCATTAGACATGTTTGATTTTTAAAAACATTATAATTTTTAAATATTTTATTTTTTTATGTATATGAGTGTTTTGCCTGTATGTGTATATGTGCCCTACATGTGCGTAGTGTCCTTGGAGGCTACAAGAGAATGTTGGATGACATGAGATAATGTAGGACTGGGAGGGACAGGAACTTCTATCTACAGTTAGATTCCCCTGGAACTGAACTTATGAATGGTCATGAGCCATGATGTCTTAGGAACTGAATCTGTGTCCTCTGCAAGAGCAGCAGATGGACCTGGAGGAATGAATTAGTGGGAGCATGTACTAATCTTCCAGAGGAACTGAGTCCAGGTCTGATGTCTGGGTACCCACACACATCACTAAAATAATAAAAATAAAATTCTAAAAAGAGTGGCAAGTTCTCTTAATCTGAACCAACTCTCTAGCCCCAGATATTTTTGTTTATAGCCATAATTTGCTTGCTTATTTGTTTGTTTGTTTGTTTGTTTGTTTATTTTGGGGCAGGTTTCTCTACTATGTAACTTTGACTATCTAAGAACTCTGTAGACCAGGCTGGCCTCAAAAATCACAGAGATCCACCTGCCTCTGCCCTCAAGTGCTGAGATTAAAGGCGTGTCCGGCCATGCCCAGCTATTTTAAGTGGGCTTTTTTGTTTTTTTAATCTTTATTTTATGTATATTGGTGTTTTGCCTGCAGGTATTCCTACTTACAGACAGTTGTGAGCTGCCATGTGGGTGCTGGAAATTGAACCCAGGTCCTTTGGAAGAGCAGCCAGTGCTCTTAACTGCTAAGCCATCTGTCCAGCTCCACCCAACTAATTTTTAAGAAATTATTATGTGGCAGTAGGAAAGAGATTGAGAGTTCCAAGACTATCCTGAGCCACATTGTGTGTTTTGGGCCAATGTGAACTATATTACAACTCTGTGTAAAAGAATAGTAATCATAATACAGGGCTGGAGAGATGACTCCTTGGGTAAGAACACTTGGCTTCTCTTATAGAAAGCCCTAGTTTGGTTTCCTGCACCCACATCAGACAGCTCATAACCACCGGTAGCCCTAGTTCCAGGGGATTCAGTGCCTTCTTCTAGACTCCGTAGGTACCAGGCATGCACATGGTATATATTCCATTCACGTGCTCCGTATTTTGTGACTTTTAAAAATGAAATCTTTGGACTGGCAGTGGTGATGCATGTCTTTAATCCTAATACTTGGGAAGTAGAAGCTGACCCATTTCTGAGTTCTGAGTTTGAGGCCAGCCTGGTCTACATAACAAGTTCTAGGATGGCCAGGGCTACACAGAGAAACCCTGTCTTGAAAAACCAAAAAAGGAGAAAAAAAACTGATACTCAAAACTTTTAACAAGAGATTAGAAACTTGCATTACTCTGGCTGTTAGATGGCTCAGTGGATAAAGACACTTTTACCAAGCTTGATGACCTAAATGTAATCTCTAGAACCCACATGCACATGGTGGAAGGAGAGAAAAGACTCCTGAAAGTTGTCCTTTGACTTATATGTGTACACAATGTCTGCAAAGCCACATACGTATGCACAGGATAAATAAATGAAATTGTATTTCTCATCATTATCATAATGAAAATCTTTATTATAGTTAGAAAGCTTTCAAAAATTTAGTTAACCTACCCACACACACCCTGAAATTTTTCTCTTTGGATTTTTTTTTTTTTTTTTGAGAAATGATCTCACGTGCTGGAAGTCAAACTTATAGGCATGGGCTGGAGAGATGGCTCAGGAGTTAAGAACACTGACTGCTCTTGCAGAGGATCTGGCTTCAATTCCCAGCACTCATATGGCAGCTTACAACTGTCTGTAACTCCAGACTGTGTGTAATCCTCACTCAGACATAAATGCAGGCAAGAAATTAGTGTGCATAAAATAAATAAATCATAAAAAAACAGCATTAACAAAATAAAATAACTTGCAAGCTTCCTACCTCAGCCTCCCAAATGATAAATCCTAGGAGGATTGGCATGGCATACACCACCATGTCATATTTTGATAATGGTATTTCCTTGTTTTGAATGCTAAGAACCTTTGCAGTTAATGATAACCAAAAGAGACATCTTCTGATGTTTAATCATTTTAAAGAGTAGTAGTTTGACTTTATATTTACAACTTCAGTTCTTTTGCTAAACGAAAATAAGCTATTTTTTTTTGAATGTGTTCGTTTTGATGCCAAAAATGCCTGGGCTTAAAATACCAGTGTACTGTAAGTACTTTGAGATCTTCATGTTGTTTATTTGAATTTGAAACCATCTCACTGTGTAGTACAGGCTAGCCTCAGACTTTGGGCAATTCCCTATCTCTGTTTCATGAATGTTGGCATTATAGGTTTATACCACCATATCCTTTTTTTTTTTTTTTTTTTTCCTTGCCTTTAAAATATTCGTTTCAATTTGACTTTCTGATAGTAAGTCCTTGACCTCACATTGTGCAAGAGACAAATTCTGCTTTGGCAGAAAATTAGTGATATGTTGACTGGTATGTTTTTTATACCCTGTTTGAGTGGGTTTTGTTTTGGTTTAACTGTTATTCTTTCCACCTGTGCTCTGACTACACTTCATAGGAGAGCCTCATAGATGCCAGTGAAGACAGCCAGCTGGAAGCTGCCATCAGAGCCTCCTTGCAGGAAACACATTTCGACTCAGCACAGGCAAAACAGGATAGCCGCTCAGATGAAGAATCTGAATCGGAACTTTTCTCTGGCAGCGAAGAATTCATTTCGGTTTGTGGCTCTGATGAAGAAGAGGAGGTAGAGAATCTTGCTAAGTCCAGAAAGTCTCCTCATAAAGATCTGGGACATAGAAAAGAGGAGAACAGAAGGCCATTGACTGAGCCCCCAGCCAGAACTGAGCCTGGCACAGCCACAAACCATCAAGGATTGCCAGCCATGGATCCTGAGGTCTTGGAGATGTCACCTGAAAAGTCAGATGGAATAGTGGAGGGGATAGATGTAAATGGTAGGTTACAGGATAGACCTGCTTTACTTATTAAACTTGAATGTACTGAATGGCTTGCTTTAGTTAATCTCCCATATTAAACACCTATGTGTATCTAACTGTTCCTTAGGACCAAAAGCACAGCTGATGCTGAGGTACCCAGATGGAAAAAGGGAGCAGATCACTCTTCCAGAGCAAGCTAAACTGCTGGTGAGTTTATCTCACTGAAACATGTGGTTCGTGGTGTTAGGGATTAAACCCATAACCTAATGCATGCTAAGCAAACCCTACCACTATTTTGTACCCTTACCCAAGAGAACATAGTCTCTCTGACATATATGTAGGGTATCTGGTATCTGACTCAAAACTTATTGTCAAGAGTCTTAGTTTGGGGGGGGGGGGTTGTTGGGATTTTTTTACTTGTATTTTGTTTTTGTTTTAACACAGGGCCTCACTATGTAGCCCTGGCTAGCCTAGAACTCAGAGATTTGCCTGCCTCAGTCTCCTAATTACTGGAATTAGGGCTATGATGGTCTTTGAGGTGGGGGTCTCATTTATAGCCTGGAACTCAAAATAGTCTTTTTGCTTAACTTCCCAAGTGCTGAGATTATAAGCATGAGCTACCATGCCTGTCCTATTTCTTAGTTTATTTGCTTTTCATTCTTTGAGGCAAGTCACAGGCCAGCTTAGGCTTTTCAGTTCTGTTTGTGTGGAATACACTGACTTCTGGAAAAGAAGTGGTGGATTTATCTGAAGACTATAGTGGGGAGCTTGGGTTTCTTAATAGCTGTTACTACAAAATAATTAAGAATCAAGGTTCTTCGGTATCTCTTCTGTGGTCTGCTAGAATTTTTTCTTGTGATTCTCTATTTTATCCCATTCCCTCTTTGTCTACCTGTAAGTTTTGTTTACTCTTCGGTTTGTACATGGCATCACTTATCTTAGTGCTCCCAAGGTCCTGACGTCTGAAAAAGAAATTGGTCTGCCTAACATAACTGAACTTGTGGGTGGTGCCCCCCCCCCTCCAGCCCTGTTTTGGTTAAGTACCTATACCTGGCCTGTCACTATGCCTGGGATAGCCACTTTCCTCATTTCTGCAACAAACTACTTGACAAAGTAAGGGTGGAAAGGGTTTTTCTGGCTCATGGTTTCCGAGAAATTGCATCCAAGCAAAGGTTAGGCTTGGCAGCCAAAGCATGGCAGAGGCTCCTTCTCTAGTGGTGGGAACTGGAGACTTGTTCATGTGGCTGTGAGTCAGGAAGCAGAGAAAGAACTAGACCAGAGCCAGAGGGGTGGAGAGGACCTTCAGAGGCCTGCCTGTGCTGACCTCCGGCCAGCCAGGCCCCACCTTTCCAGTTTAAATGGGGTCATTTAAATTGAAATCAGACAGCTGTAGATACTGTTGAAGACAGTGATAAGTTGCTGACTGGTTCCAGACTACTACTGTTTGAAATGGAACAGAGGCAAGAGAAAGAATAAATACGATAAATGTCCTTTTCCTCCACCATTCTAGTTCTGATAGCAAACTTTGGTATAGAAATGTTAAGTGGGCTAGGTATTGGCGGCGCATGCCTTTAATCCCAGCACTCAGGAAGCAGAGGCAGGCATATCTCGGTGAGTTTGAAGCAGCCTTTCTACAGAGTTCCAGGACAGACTCTAAAGCTACACAGAAAATCCCTGTCTTGAAACAAACAAAACAAAAAAGAAAAGAAAAAAATGTTGGGTGGAAAATTCCAGAATCAATTTGTAAGTTTTAAATTAAATATTATTCTGAATAGCACAATGAAACTTCCTAACGTCCCACTCCATCACCTGTGTGTGATATGAATCATTCCCTTTATCCAGGCTAGCCAGGCTGTGTATACCTGAGAGGTAATAGCCATCTTAGTTACCAAATGAATGTTATAGTTACCACAGGGTATCTGGTCATGTAACTTCAAAAAACTTAAAATTTATGTTAAAATTTTTTTTTCAATGGGGGGTGGTGGTGCACACCTTTAATCCCAGCGCTTGGGATGCAGAGGCAGACAAATCTCTGAGTTTGAGGCCAGTCTAGTCTATAGAGTGACTTCTAAGACAGCCAGGGATACATAGAGAAACACTTTCTTGGGGAAATACAAGTGACTGATGGTCCTGCAGCTTAAAAGAAGTAATGTTGCATGTATGTATGCGTGGTTGTGTGCCTCAGCATGCATGTGTGTGCACCTATTATAAAACTTATATGTATATATAACATTTTATATTATTAGTTGTTAATATATATCATTAAATATGTTAGATATCTACCAGGGGTCATGGTGCATATTACCTAGGGACAAGGGTTGCTACTGTGTAAACCGTGTGTGTGTGTGTGTGTGTGTGTGTGTGTGTGTAAAATTTGTTTATTCTTATTTTATGTGCATTGGTGTTCTGCCTGCATATATGTCTGTGTGAAGGTGTCAGATCTTGGAGTTACACAATTGTGAGCCGTCATTTGGGTGCTTGGAATTGAACCCATGTCCTCTGGAAGAGCAGTCAGTGCTCTTAAACATTGATCCACCTCTCTAGCCTGTAGACCACTCTTGAGAAATTTAGTTGCAAAACTGAGTAGAAAACTAGACAGTGAGTAAAGGGAAAAGATCACTGGAGAAGACTGAGCACGTTTATCTGATGAAAAAGCATTTGTAGAGAAGGACATGTTGAAATTGTAACAGTTCTGTGGTTGTAGTTGGTCATAGACAGAATGAAAGGATATATTCTCTGTTGAAGGAAGAAAAATAGTCTATATTATATAAATATTAACTGAGTTTATTTATTGGGGAGATAGCAGTGACTCTTTTAGTATCACAAAGTAGTAGCCCTAAGTTACTGGGTATAGATTTACTTATCCAAAGAGTTTTGTTGGCTTTCTATAAGCTTTCATTATCTAAATAACTTACTTTATCTAATATGATAAAGGTAGAGTACTCTTTTGAATTAGTCAGCATGGTATTATTTCCAGCTAACAGTTTTGTCTTACTCTTGTTTTTCATAGGCTTTGGTGAAACATGTCCAGTCTAAAGGATATCCAAATGAACGTTTTGAACTTCTTACCAACTTCCCCCGGAGGAAGCTCTCTCATCTGGACTATGACATCACTTTACAAGAGGCAGGCCTCTGTCCTCAAGAGACTGTCTTTGTACAGGAAAGAAATTAACACCATGGCCTGACCTCTCTCAGCTTACCCCCTTTTCCCTTTTCCTGTGAGATACCATGTCACTAAGTATGCATTTTGGCTCATAGGACTATAGAGCCAAAGCTGAGCAAGCAAGTCACCTGCCTTTCCTTTATTTCTTTCTGTCACCTGTAATTAGTCTCTTTCCTCCTTTTCTCTTTCTCTGTGATCTTTTTTTTCTCACTTTGTTTCTTTCTTACCAAATGTGGTGACCAAATGGAAGTGTAAAGATAAGAATAAGATCTCTCCTAGTACTGGCAGCAGGAAATGTGTGTTCTAATAAGTAGTCTCTTGTGTGGCATCTCTTTGGGTTCTAGTGATTTTAATCCTAGACTCTTGACAAAGAATGACTAGAATCAGAATTAAAAAACAATCCCCATTTTTGCTAGGGAAAAGAAATTCTCTTAACATGCATTTTGTTCTTCATGTAAGAAGATCTCTTAGTGAAATACCCAGGTTTTTATTTGTGTAGGGAAAGCATTCCTTATATTATTGCTCATATTTAAAATTTCCTTCAAAGGTTCCCATGATCCAGTTATAAGAGTTATTTCCATGATGTATGTTATTGGCAGAATGAGTACTTAGTGTATTGTGTATTACCAAGACGGTTTTCTTTATTAGTATCTGTTAGTAATATTCCTCTTTCCAGTACTAGGATGAACCTGTAGTGAGCATCTTGTTTCTGGGCTAGGAAGGTGTTTGCTGTTTTTACCTGCACAGCAGATTAGTTCCTTTGGCTCCATTGTCTTGAGTATGTAGTGTTGTCTAGGAAGGCAGATGTTCAATAATCATGTAGTACGATGGCTTGTAATTGTAACCACTATGGTTATTGGTTGTCCTATGTGCTTAAAGCATACTTAGGTATGTACCAGGGTTGGGTGGGTGGGCAGGGGTGGGAAAACCTGCAGCTGAGAGTTGCTAACAATGTTTTTTTTTTTTTTTTTTTTTGGTTAGAAACAGTGGTTTTGTTTTTTATCCCCAATTGGAATAATCTCTAAAATGCTCTGGTAACTAATTGACTTTAATTCCTCGTGCTATTTTACTTTAGAAATCGAAATTGAGAGGAAGACCTTGAAATTCGATTCATAAGACAGCAGTTAGTAAGAGGGACATTACCAGTAACCATCAGTTGTGAATCTTTTTCTGCCAACAAGTCACATTCAAATTGTATTTGGTGAAAGCTTTTTTCAGTATTACTTAGTTGAGGCCACCTGAGTCTGTGTAGTACTATTTATCAGCTTCACTATGTGCTCAGTTCTTTCCTTGAACTTTTAGGTAGAGTGCTCTAACAGGGCAATAGTGGTTTGATGGGAAAAATCAAAACTTTAAACTGGTTATAAAACCATTTCTGTAGAATGACCTTTCTTGTCAAGTTGACTGATTCTTGTACTTGAGGAACATAAATTGTAATTGTTCAAAGACCTTTGGGTTCCTGTGTACTTGCAGATTGCTCTCTTGGCAACTAGGGAATTAAAAAGATAAGCTAAAGAGATGTGGTATGTTGCTAGTATGTGATGATAGACTATGGTTGTTAATGGTTGGATTTTGAGGGACCTCCCTAAAGAATGGGTTATGTATCTCCTCAAGGAAATCATGGGAAATTTTGTTATTTTTCAGTGAGTCCTTTTGAATTAATGTTCCTACATTTTTTTCTAAGTCTGTGTAAGTGCTTATGTATACGTATATAATTGTATGAATATTTATAAATATATTTATATAATTACAATTTCATTTACACTTGAGTCAAAGTTCTCTCTTTAGATTGGTGAGTGAATAATACCACATTGTTTTTCATAGCTCTTGAGGCTTAATCAAGCATGTTAACTCCTCAGTTGTAGCTCTGAACTTGAATAGAAACAGCTGAGGAATGGAGCTGTATGCTCTGAAGCCTCCAGGAGCCACAGAGTAAGAGAGAGAATCAATCCTCAGCTTTGCTGTGCTGGCACCATCTCCATTCCCAGCGCACAGGCCCAGCAAAATGTAAGTCAGTCAAGAGTTTTCCCTTAGAGGACTCTTCTGCATCCTCTTGTCCCATTCATTTAGGTTCTCTGTATAGTAACCTGTCTTGAGAACCTGAGGCAGGATGTTCAGAGTGAGAGGGTGTATGAGGGTCTTTTATATGCTTAGCACTGGCAAATCCATTTTTCAGAACCCAATTAGGGTGACTGAGTATATATGTGAGTTAAGAGGCAGAGTGTTATACATTTATCAAGCTTAGTCAGGATGAAGAGCTGTAGAGGATTTCACTTCATTTTGACCAGGAGTGTGATTATCAGGGTTGGTCCATGGGAGGAAGGGTTATGAATTATACATACATGAGGGAAATAAGTGAGAATATTGCCTTGCTCAAGTATTTAATCTATGTAAGGAGTTTGTTTTAGTTCTTCTGCAAGTTATTTGTCTTTCAAGAGGGAGCTTTTATTGGACAGTTAAATGAGGTCTGTGAGGTTAGTTAAACATATTCCCTGTGGGTAGTAGAAACAGCTCAAAAGTATTTAAAGTAAGGAGGAGAGGTACAAGATAGACTTGAGAGTGGCATAAAGAAAGGGAATGAAAACTAGTGGGAAAAGAGAGGAGTCCTGTTTGGACTTGAGAGAACAATACTGGGTGAGAGGAGAGCAGGACTGGTTTTGTGTAGCTAGCATGTGCTGTGTGTACTATGTGTATGTTTCCTCCTTCAGTCTTCATGCAATCCCTACACGGTATATATTCTACTCATTTATAAATGAGGAAAACTGGAATTCATACAGCTTGTTCAGTATGTCATTACTAGTAAGGGAAAATTAAAATTAGGCCCAGAGTCTGTTCTATAATATCCTTGTGTGTTGTGTTGTCTTACATCAGTTGTAGTCTGTTTACTCTTAATATCATCTTATTATTTGGCTTTGTAAACTAAGAGTTTTTGTTTCCTTAAAGCTGGAAGGTATAGTTGGGGTCAAGATTGTATAGGATTTGTGTTATCCCTATAAAATCCTAATTATGCCATTTTTAACAGACATTTGTCCATTATTTTTTTAATAATTCGATAAGGAATTATTTGCCAAGAATAGATGGAAACCATAGGAAAGATTTTTAAAAAGTTACAATTATCTTTTCTCATAGATTATTCATGATAGAAGGTATTCAACAACCCTTTGTTCTTTATACGTTTTTGTTTTATCCTGTGTACAACACTTATATTAGCTACCTATTGAGTCTGAGTCGAAAGTCAGAAATATTTTGAAAGCTAAGATCTGATTCAACTGCTTTATCCAATTATGGAGTCATTTATATACATGGATAACAGCAGGACAGTGAATGTTAACCCTTCCAGGGTTGAACTGTGGTTATAATAGGAACTCAGGAGGAAAGGATAGTATAGGCTTAGTTAGAGGAGTTCTCACAAAGAAGAAATAAGGATGGTGGCAAGTGCTGTGGCTCAGTCTTTGACTCTGCCTCTGGAAAATACCAAATTTGGGTCATTAAGTGTATCAGTAAGTCAAGACCTTTGCCTGAGTAATAAATAATTTTGAGCTCAAGTACTAAAAACTCTTTAATTAGCAGGAATCTCACTTGAACACTTCAGAAGAATACCAGAGGGCTCCTGAAAAATGAAGGCAAGATTTCTCTCCCTGAGTACAATATGTGGTGGTTGATCCTGGGACAAAGAAGGGTGCCTGGTGGGTTCAGTCCATTTGGATAACAGCTTTGCTTCTTGTTATCCTGACTTTAGAATTTCTTATTTGAAAACAAGAATCAGAGTAGATAAGTAGTTCTCTGTCTTTTCAAGTCAAAGGTAGGGTTAACTACTAATAAGAGTCAGCCTTGTGGAGGGATTGTGCACTTGGAATCTGCTCTTAGAGAAAAACTTGTATCCACCCTGATGTTTTATGCATCTGGTCTCTCCCTTTATTTTATATTATTCTCAGACTAATTCAAGTGTTAACTGAATACTTGTTAATCGTTAATCAATTCAAGAACTTAATGCTGTAAGCCTAATGAATTTTAAGAGTGACTTGCTATGCAATGAATGCAAAGTAGAATGTCTCCAACATTGGAGCTGAATTTGTGTGCGTTAAGCTAAGTATTGGCTCAGCAGTTGTGAAGTTATTTGTTGAAATTTGCACTTGGTTTGGGCAGATGTGACCTTTTAAGCTGATGTTTAAAAATGTAGTTCTTGTCCCATAGAGTGGATCTTTATGGTGTCAGAGTTTTAGAGATCTTTCATTTACTTACTTAAAGGTAAATTGCAGTGTACAAATTATGAGTAATGTCTTGTGTAAAATTAAAACTTGAAAAGTAATGAGGGTAGGAAAACCAGCCTCTCGGGCTCACACTTTGCCAGCAGCTTAAGCCTTACTGAGTAGGCTGCTGCTTCTGGCAGCCACTCTACCACCTGAGTTACTCCCTGAATTACATTACCTAAAGGCCCTGAACATTGAGCATTGTTTGTTTGTTTGCCTTACGTAATTTCAGTTGTCTACTGTGAAACTTAGAATCCCTAGTTCATGTTTTAGAGTGGTGCAGGGTATTCTTTACAGCTCAGCATAACCAAAGAGCACCATTCTGATACATTGATTTCTTCTGTAATACAGAGATTTATATTTCAGTGATGGTTATTTAGACTTTTGACTCAACTTTGTGTTAGTCCTGGTGATGAGACAGCTTAGAATTAAGAGGAATTAAGAAGTATTTAGTTTGTTGATTTTTTTTTTTTTTTTTTTTTTTTTTTTTTTAAAGAGCAGAGATTATTACATCCTTGGTTAGTTTCTCCCTTAAAGAACCTGGATGCCTAATGTTATTGGATATGATGAAACCCTGAAGTGAAACAACCTTTTAATCTTGCTTCTCCATTCTCTTTTTTGTCTGTTTTGTTTTCAAATACTTAATGTAGGTCAGGAGAGCCTCTTTTTTTTTTTTTTTTTTTTTTTTTTTTTTCTTGAGATAAAGTCTCTGTCTGTAGATCTGTTCTGGATCAGGCTGGCCCCTTAAGAGACTGTAGTTGAACATGACCTTGAACCTCTGGGTCCGCCTTGGATTACAGTGAGCTGCCATCTTTGTCTCTTCATTCTTTACCTGATTTTCTCCAAAATTGTCACAATTAATAGATTTGGCTATGTTTTTAAAATTATATTTCTCATTTTTATAAATTAATATAGAAGGCAATATTTTGAGGCAAACATCTTTTTTATAGCTCATTTTCTTCCTAAAGAGAATTCTTATTCCACGTAAGAGGATGGCTGGCTCGGTTTGTTTGTTTATAGGTTCCTGGTTGCCCTACTTAAATCTCACTGTTCTCATAAACATTTTGTTTTTGAAAGACACATCTGTGGGACCAGCGCCCTCAAGTTGGCCTTGAGCTCTTCTGGGATTATAGGTGAAAGCTACTACATTTGGCTTAACCTGATTAATTTTAACTATGTTTTTAAGATGGCCTTTATACCATATAATCACAAAATAAACTTGGGTTATCCAAATGAACTAACTACTTGATTAAACATAGTAAAGAAGTTTATAAAAATTTGCTTGTGGGCCTGGAGGGATGGGCAGTTCTCATAGAAGTCCTGGGTTCAAGTCCCAGCAACCACATAAAAGTCCACAGCTGTCTATAACTCCAGTTCTAGGGGGTCCAACTCTTTTGCGTCTGAGGCCACTAGGCATTCCCAAGAAGCTGAGGTAGGAGGATTGCTAGTACCAGTCAACCTGAAGTTATATACCAAGGTCTTGACTCAAAAATAAAATTCTCCTTGCCTCATCCTTTTTGGATATATTGGTAGTTTGCTTTAGCATGCATTTGTACATCACAGTGCTCTTCTAGGCCCAATTAAATATCATTCTTTGAAGAATTCTAATTAAAGCTACTATAGTGCCACACTATAGTAAGAACTCATTGCTCTGGAGGAAAATAGTGAGACATAGGAT